TTGTGGACTGTACTGTATATATATATATATATATATATATATATATATAAATGCATAGATATAAGCACACACAGCAATGGCTGCCATGTAAGGTACTGGCCTAATGATCAGGCATCTGGGTGGAGCAAGACAAGGACAGAACACACCAACCCTGTCAGGGATGTTAAACTCAGTTTATTTCATGGGCTAAATACATTGATGTCAAGTGAGCCAGACCATTGAAACTATTGCATAATAACCTATAAATAACAAAACCTCCAATTTTTTCCCTTTCTTTCAGTACATTCTGAATGTAACAACAGCCTGAGATATCTTAAGAAAAATAAGTGCAGTAATGCTGGCATCACCACACCAATCTAATGTGGAAGCTTTTGAGGAAGCAGGTTAAATTTTCCCCTGCCTTACAAGCTATTTACCAATTTCAAAAATTTGGCAGTGCCTTAGCAATAGCATTCCACCATTATAGTTTAAAGATAGAAATCTGATACAGATTCCTTTGTAGCCTTCACAAACAATTCAATATTAGGTGTGTTAAGTCATCAAGTGTGCCGGGTTGGACCCTTTGGTGAACCAGCTCTGGCCCATGGGCCATATGTTTGACACCCCTGGTCTGGCATATGAAAGCTATGATAGATTTAGATGGCTGGGACTCTCATTAGCAAACATTTTACAATATAAATAACACATATTTGGTCATGCCCATTTTAGTTGACATAGTAAGGCTAATGTTGGAATCCTATTGTCACAAATGTTATTGTATTCACTAATGCACTGTTCCGTTTCGAATGTGGTTTGCTTTTCAGTCTAGGGTCACCTGTTACTGCATGCTTTGCTGGTAAATGTCACTGTCTGGTATAAACCAGTACAAATACAGGAAACAGGAACTGCAAGTAGCTAAAGCAGCAGGACATTTAATGAAGCAGATGTGTCAAAATGTGAACTAACAGGCTTAGTAGCCTATCATTGAATCTGTTCCAGCTGTCTGCATGGTGGTGTGACCTCAGCCTGCCTGGGCTCAGCAGTAAAATGACTGGAATGAGTCAGCTTGATTTGCTCTAAAAGTTGAGTGTATGATGTATGTTTAAGATAGGCAAATGGATACATTTGTGTTTGTTTCTGTTACATTGTCTCAGATCAGCTGATCTAAATTGTGCCATCTAAAGTGAGTACATATCTTACTCCCATTGTCACTCTACACTGGTTTTTGCTTTTGCTCTCTGAAAACACCTCTTATTTTGTATATTTGAATATTTTGCCAGATATTTAATACCCAGTGGTTGTTGTGGTTGATACTAGTTGTGAACGTTAAATTGTGGTTATTGTACTAAGTGTTGCTGTAATTTGAAGCATTCTCTGGCACAAGAATTTCCTTATGAATAAATCAAAATTCTATTGAACTGAATTGAATTGAATTGAATTGAAGATAAGTCTGGATACAGTAAGTACACTTTGTTATTTTGTGATATTTAGGCTACAATAGCAAGTACATTTGTGATGCTAACTGTTTGAGGTATAGTGTATAGGTGTCACCAAGTGGATTGTGACTGCAAGTAGCAGCATTTAGATCTATTAAAGGTGGATCTCTCCAAATGTCAAAATAAAAATTATTGAGTTGTTGCAGTAATGTTTGTGATTTTTGATATTTAAGGGTAAAAATGATCAAGTGGGTGTAGCCTGTCACGTAGTCCACTGATGATGAATATGGTGTCTGATTGCAGTTAGCATGTCTAGTTGCTCCGAGTGCGCCATATGTTGCTATTTATTTTTGTAGCAAATATCTAATAACAAGTAAGCCCTACGTAAGACTTACTTTGTGTGGTGCAATCCACTTTCAACATGTGTACATTTTGACTGTGTAATGATAATTATAATAATAATAACAATAATAAAGTTTATTTGTGTAGCACTTATCAAAACCAACATTACAAAGTGATTTACACATTAAATCACAACAATAAAATAGGCACACACAGAAATAGACTTTTAAAGACAATAGATAATTAAAAACCATAAACACAACCGAGGAAAAAAATTAAAGCAATAGGTGAATTTAAAACTAAAAACAAGTAGTGCAAGACTTAAGTGTAATGTCAGGAGTAAGGTACAGTTTAACAAACAAATGTAACAAACAAATGTAAAACATTTTATTTATTTATTTATTTAATTTAAAAGATAAAAATAGTTGTATATGTATGTATAAACCTTTCGATAAAGACACAACTTCAAAATTGATACTGATTTAATAGAAGATACTGATGACAAGCCAGATTTTTTCACGCAGGTTTTTCCACAACCGAGAGGTCATAACAGCAAACAGCTTGGTCCCCTTTAAGCCACGTTTTCACCAAACACTTTCAGTATGGTACCTTTGGAACCAAAAGTAATCATTCAGACCCTTCACCTCACCTTTATCGTTCACAAAACGAGGCTGAAAATAGAACAGGCTGAGGTGAGAGTCACTCTCAATGGGGTATTTAAAAATAGCAGGTTTGTGCATTTAGTCCTTCTTAGGCAAGCCTGGGTTTAGTGTTGCCCACAATAACGATGCTCCGCAATGCTTTGTTTACAAAGTAATAACAACTAAAGTAACGGTCAGAGTTGTCATACTGAAATTTAAGGTGTGCTGATGGATTCACATTGTGAACTCATGCACTGAGTAACATCACAAGTAAACATTCTTCCTCAAAAGTCACCAACAGTCGGCCCAGTAAATTAAATGATTTTTTCCTCAGTATACAGCTGCTGCAGCAGACAGCAAAACATCCCCTCATTTCATGGTTATAGTTTGCTCATATATGGAAAACCTGCTACGGTATGAACAGTGGTTAGATACAAAACCAGCCCTGAGCAAGAGTGACCATTTGCTGTTGACCAATCAATAGACTGTAGCGTTCACAGCTCCACCTTTTAGTACCAGATCTGTGTGCTAGGTACCCCAACAGAAGGGGTACCAAATAGAAAAATGTGTACCGAATTGAACTAAAACATACCAGACTGCTTGGTGGATATGGGGCTTAAGTCTTTAAGTGTGAAGCGGGAACAGTTAGCAGGTTCCTGCCTGAGGATCTCAGCTTGTAACCTGGTTGGTACAGAGACAGCAGTTCAGATATATATTCTAGGGCCTGAGACATAACACCTTAGAACCAATCCTAAATCCAGCTAGAGCTACGCTAAGTTTGAACTCACAAACAGTCGGTTGCAACTGACACCAGGTCTGCACTGTGCTGAGATTTTAGAATTAATGGCAAACTTTTTCAACTTAAGAGGTAAGAACCAGACAGTTTTGTGCAACAGATGAAGAAGTCCCACTATCAGCCTGATGGACCACGCCCAGCTGTCATGCTTTAATGCCTATGTTATTTTTCATGCTTATGCAAATGGATAAGGTACAGCCCTTAGTAAATTTCTCTGTATTTGTACTGTGTAAGCTGGGCACACTTGCAAACTGCTACAATCCGTCGTCTACTCTCTAAAAAACTGAAAAAATGGGTAAGTTTGGATTATTCTCTTACATTTTCCTAGGTTAGACTGTTGAGATTGTGTCTGTGTGTGAGGTATACATACTGAGAATAGATGTATTCTGCATACACAAATAAATAATAGCTACCATAATTGTATGCTTTTTTCTTTTTTTAAAAAATGTCTTAAAAAAGTTTGGTGAAATAAATATTTTGCACTGTATATTTTGTCCTTGTATTTATAGGTCAGTTCGACTTTTGAAATCTCTATACATCTAGAAATGTATAGTGTTGGTGTTAGATGAATAGAGGCAATAAAGGAAACACTTTTTAAATAGATGCATACAAAGGAAACAAAATGTGCAAAAACTAAATTAATGCCAGGGTTCTTACAAATTTTGCATTTCAAAAAATTTCACACTACATTTGACATCACATTAAAAATCTATACATTTTTATTATGTTAATAATTTGTTTTTTTTTTAAGAAAAAAAAATCAACATACACCATATTGAATAAATGATATTATATTATTTGACAAAAAACCAAGGAGGTCTTGCTGTTTGAAAAAATGCAGACAACCAAGGGAAAAAAAACTGAGGCACTCCGTCTTCAGGTAAAAATATATAAAGTAACTTTTATTTGAGCAAAGGCAACAAGACAGACCTACGCATATCGACCAAAGTCTTCTTCAGGGTCTGACAAACAACTAATCAATCTCAATTATATACAGGTGAGATTGGCATTCTGTTTGACACAAATACGTAAACAGCAGAGGGCGCCAAAGGTGTAGGCAATATAGATGTGTCAAACAAAAAACAGGGGGAAAAAAAGGGGGAACACCAGAAAAATCACAGAGAACATGTAGACATGTGGGAAAAAAACACAACAAGGAGATAGAGATCCCCCACATCAATAAATAATGTCTAATAATAATGTTGTCTATACATAAATAAATAGACAGGCTTACATTTATTTTAAATGAATAATGTGTTGTCAAATGTGATTTTAGGAAAGCAATAATGTTATGTTTTTTAACCATACCTTATATACATTAATGTAGGCTACTGTACAAAATATGACAAGGATTTTCAATACACAAATTACAATACATCAAGTTTCAATACTGGGAATCAGAGAAACGGCAAAAAGTCTATCTCATCATTAAGACCAGGGGTCTTAGTGGCCTTTAAAGTGACGATCCAAAATATCAATTCACCTACTTCAATGAAGAGCACCTGTCGAGTCAGAGCCTTGTTTATCCAAGCAGCGCTTCCTTCTTTCTTTTTCAACATTGATATCATATTATATTTGTGTGTGTGTGTGTGTGTGTGTATCCCACAGTATTTTTAGTCTCTTTTAAAACAATAAGTGAACTGAAAATGTTAATAATTAGATTTTCTGGATTGCTAGTTTACAGTTTTAAGGCTCCACTTTGCGCAGAGCTATTTTGCAAGCTGTGGCATACAGTGGTAGAGGCAGCTCTGGGTTGCACATCATGCACTGTCATGCACTGTCATGCACTGCACTGTCTCACACAGTTGTAAACATTTGCTCACTCTGCTCCAAATGCCATGAAAAATACTCTTCAGTTTATTTTTAGAAATTTTGTATTTCAGAAAACAGGATAGGGGCAGTGGTCTGCAATAACAACAATAATTTTCCCATAATCTCTTTTCTTTTTTCCATGCTTATTCAGACCTGGAAATTACTAACATCAAGTTCCATACTTTTCCAAACTGTGTAGGAACACAGACAAAATATAGACAAAAGAAAAGAGAAACACCAAGAATTACATTTACAACAATTACAACAGGGATTTTTAAGTCTGATTCCCTTTTCCCACCCTCACCTACACACCCTACCCATCTCTGAATGGATACAAGAGAGTGTCTGTGCTCCAGGAACTTAAGAACAATGTTGACTGGACATTCTGAGCCTTAGTAATCTCAGAAAAAGTATTGATAGTACAGACAATTAGATAGTACAGACTTTTAGATATTTATGCACGATGGATATTATTAGGCCACATTATATATATTTACATAAATGACTCTTTCAAGTATAGCAGTTTGCAGCACTGAATTAGATCAAATTTCTGCTGTGTAACCTGGATTTACTGAACACTGAATACAATGAAAAACACAGTACATGTCTGCTGTGTAACCTAGGTTTACTGACCTGGCTGAGACAGGAGGCCCAGCTGAAGAAGATGGTTCTGGTTATTGTGTTTCTTGCCTTGTTCCTGGATCATATGCTACTGTCAGTTATTGGTAAGTTCAAACATACAGCCTGTTGCACAACATTTTTCTTAACACTTAACCAACCAGTGGTAGAATATGGCTAATACAACTACTTAAAAAAATACTTCACCCACAAAATGACCATTTCAATGACCAGTCCTTCTAGGATGTTGTGATGTTACGATCACAACAAGTAATCAACCAATCAGAGTGAATTCTACGCAACCTTGCAACTTTTTTTCAATCACCACAACTTCACAAATGTATTGATCTACTCAGCCCCTCTCTCTTTAACATGAGACTACTGCTGCAGGACCAGCGCTCTGTGCCTCAGACAGAGTCACACACATGGTGTCAGGGCTAACTGTTTGTATCACAAGACTAATGTTACCCAACGGTTATTAACAGGTTTAAGGACAGAGCTGAGCTGTTTCTGTGTTGGTGTGAGATTAAAAGCTTGCTGTCTGATGTAAACTGCTGCAGTGGGGCTCTGCCCAAGCTGCAACAATATGACAAGTAGTGATGAGATCACGTTGTTATGTGTTAGGTCGAGCTAATCGGGCAGAGACAGCAGGAGGAGAGCAACTCATGGAGATGCAACATTAGCGTGTTGTATTTGTTTGGAAAACGTGTTTAGTATAAGACAGTTGTTTTCTCAGTGAACCTTGTGAGTTGTAATGGAGCCGAATTTTGTATTGTTACCTTTGTTAAATGTTGCTGTTGTTCCTGGATTTATATGAGTAGAGGAAATGTTCATTAGCTGCAAAGCAAATGTACACAATGTAAAATGCCACAGGCTCATGTAAATAACTTTAACTTGTTGTATTTGCGGGGAAAATGTATCCACAGGTGCTTTGTCTGTGAATGCTGCAAGTTATAATAAAGCTGATTTGTGTACTTATGTTTGAAATTGTCACTATTAAGCCATGTTTAATATTTGTTAAAATACATGTTAAATCAACTCAACTTTACAGCAGTTCACAGAGACCCCACCGCCAGCTTGTGGTTTGGAGGTGTAACTGCAGAGTGGCACAGTCACACCACTGCACAAGCATAAATGCTCACAATGGTGTAGGCCATGTGCACAGGCTATGGTGTAGACTCTGCCTAGGGCTGATGCATAAGTATATATCTGCCATTACACAACTTCTGCAGTACAATCAAAGTCAGTGACAACATACGCATGCACAAAATATTCTGGTTTTTGCCCTACTTTGGAAAAAGACAATATATCCAACTAAGCTGTTTACATGGCTCATGAAAATGAAAGTTTCACCAATATATATTTTAACAAGCAGCCATGTATACTCTAATTAACATGTCATTTATCAAATAAAAATATGGAAAAAGTTGAAGTTTTCCCCTGGTGGTGGACTCAACCATGAGAACACAGTCTCCCTCTTTCATAATGTTTAAAAGTAGGTGTGTTTCTCCATTCGATGACAAATGTGGACTTTTCTTTGGGGCATACATCTCTATCTCAGCCTTGCAAACTGTTGGTGTGTGTACAGGACATCAATGACAATGCACAGAGATGGCTGTAAACAGAAAAGAAGCCATGTGAACTGCCTTAAAAACCCCAATTGAGACCCATATTTTGCATGTATAGTATACACGTCGAAAGAATAATTCTAAAACCCAAATAATATCAGTATATCCCACGTTTTGCTTGATAAGTGCTATATTTGGGATAAGGCAAGAAATCAGAATGTCTAAACAAATTATGCTGTTTACATGACCTGCATCAAATTCTGAATATTGTCAAATTCTGAATAATAGAAGAATATCAGTGTATATGTAAACGTAGTCACTGATAACACTGCATGTCATTTGGCTTTCTCTTGAAGACATCAAATCAGTTTGTTTGGTTTGACATTATGGGCTCTAGTTTCCCGGCGCAGCGCAGGTGGCGCAGGGTGGCGAACCCCGCGCACAGCTAGTTTCGAGCAGCGCAACCCGAGGTGCGCTCAGTTTGGTAGTTTGGCAGACCGAGGTGCGCTGAGATGGGTGTGGCAGCGCAGCAGGGGGAGGTGTCGACAGATCCAGCTTGGCGCAGTGACAGTTTCGTGCCAAAAGGCTTCGCCGAAGGTGCGCTAAAAGCTCGCCAGCTGAAACCAGGTATACTGTCAGCACAGGCGGAGCGCAGCCGGTTTAAGCCGAAGTTTGGCTGACGGGCGGACAGTGCACACACGTCACCAAAACCCCACAGGCAGGTTTCCAGAATATCAGGCACAGTAACGATGCAATAAATAGCCAACCACCATTCAATGCAACTATCTGCAATCAGCATATAAATGTATCTCTATATCGACTGTCCCGTCACATCTGATGTCAGATCAAAGGGGATTGGCACCGTTTGGCACCGTTTGGCACGCGTAATGGAAACCCAACCTGATTTGATTAAAAACAGCTGCAAACTAATGAGTTCACATCCCTCTCAGCCAACCACAAACAGCCACAGCATCAGATAGGGAGTATATATTCAGCAAAAAGCCAAAAGAAAATAAACAGAGTGAGACTGCGAGAGAGAAAGAGAGAGCGCGCGTGCGAGAAACACAACATTGATTTACAATTGTGGTGACCTCCTCCCAGGCTACCTTTGCATCATCAGCCCGTGGAGGTCTGCTCGCAGTTCCGTATATTCGGACACTGCAAGCTTGGACCTCCCGGACCAAAACATCAGTTTCCTCCTGGGAGAAGTTTGGCCGTCTGACGCTGCTGCTCTCTTCTGCCATGGCGAATTGAGTAAACTCTCATTACGCCTTCGTGTGGCGCATTTAAAGGGCCAGTGTGTAAAATGGGTTGAAAACCGTTGGAAACAGTGACATCAGTGGTCAAATTCTAGATTGCAGGGCTCACTCGCTCACCCCTCCTGTCGGGTAAATGACGGTGGCCTCGTAGGGACAAAAAGCCTTGCGCACAAGTTTTTCAGGAGTAGGTCTATCTAGCGACGAGGTGAATGTTTATTTAGAAATCTAAACCATGTTACGATATTGTAATGAATCCCTCACGAGCAGGAGACCAGAGGAGCGTTCGGGAAAAAGGCCCGTTTATTTGAGCACTCCAGAAACTCTGGTAACACTCCAGGGGGTAAAAGACTCCGTCCCAAACTCTGACTCTTCTAGCGTAACACACACACTTCATACACACATACTCGTTTACCATACCAAGTGGGGACCCCCTCCCCTCTCTGCTCCACCAATCTCCAGCCCGCACACTGACTGACAGTGTAGCCGGTAAACAGTGCTCAGCTGTTTATTTAGCCTGGCAATATCTCCGGACTATAGTAGCTGCAATGGACGACTTTGAACGCGATTTTGAAGAGTTTCTTGTAGCGGACACAGACCCAGAGCCATACCTGTTTGAGCTGGAGCATACAGATGAGGAACTCCATGTGTTTGATGCTGAGCGGGTGAGAAGAGAGGCTGAATGCACAGAATGGGATTTGGTGCTCCCATTGTTGGGGAGATATATCATCAGGAGGAAAAGCGCTGCAGAGAGTGCATCACAAGGAGTGAAGCTGCGTCTTCTTTTCCTCGCAGATGACGGTTCGGGTTCATTCTCTCCTGTTGCGTGGTAAGTGTGGTCCATTTGCAAACTTTATAACTAAAAAAACTTTTCACTACTCTCTATCAACGAACTACTAACACTGCTATTTCTTCCTCCTTCTTCCTTCCTTCCACTGTCTTTGTTGGTTCATTTATACACGCGAAACGCGTTCTCTGGCTGGCTGAATTGTCCACTCGGGCTGCCGTACATACATGGCGGCGCAAGATGGCGATCTCTCTAAAGCAAGGCCCTTGCTATATATATATAAAAGCATAATTATAAGGCTATGAAAACCAAATGAATTTTATTTTATAGCGATCATACACTTGTATAAACATATTAATGGGCAGAATATTCAGATTCAGATTCAGATTGACAATAAACCATGCCAAATATTACACACTGGCCCTTTAAGGGCGAGGAGAGGGGCTCATTTGATTGGTGTGATGTGTGTAAAACCCACTTCACGCCTTCTCTCCTCCCTCTTTCTGACTTGCGCCGGTAGGAGGGACGGAGGTGGGAAAGAGGAGTAGCTGCGCCAGGGCGCACGGTGTGCCAAACTTACAAAATCCGCCTGGCCACACCCAGTTGGCGAAGCGCAGGTGCGCTGCGCCCCCACCGCGCCCGGTCTGCGAAACTAGAGCCCTATGTCTTCTTCACACCCTCAAAGGCACGATTGTCTGTTGTATGTATTTGCATGTTAAGACCCCAGGGAGATTAGTCACACTGATGTCTTGCTAATTGGGATCCTAAATAAAACAAAAACAACAAAAAACACGAACAAACATCAAATCAGATTTTAGAACACAAGATTAACGTTTTGTTTTGCTTTATTTTGTTTACAGTTCCAATCCTTCCAAATTACCTGTACAGTACTGGCCAGGCTGCCAATACCACTTCTGGGAACAGCACTATCATAACAGTCAATCCTCCCATCATCCAGTCACTCAGTAACAGATCAGTGATTCTGGGCTCCACATTTGGACCTCCACATCAGAACACAACTCTTTCCAGTGATCCCAGTGTGGCCCTGAAATCTCCTGAGTCAAACTGCTCTGATGCAGATCCTCAGCTGGACGAAGTAAATATCAAAATAGGACTGCTGTTGGCCTCCAAGTCCATGGTACAGCTTATCATTAACCCCTTCATGGGGCCACTTACTGACAGGTGAGTGATTATGATCTGTGGGAAATAGGCAGATTTATTATGCTCAAAAACACATAACTCAGTTTTACCTACTTATGTACTGTGTATTGCACAGGATTGGATACCACATCCCAGTGTGTGCTGGTTTCTGCATAATCATCATCGCTACCTTTTGTAAGTATTGAATTAAAGTGTGTTGAAAAAACTGCATTAAAAAAAAAACACAGCTCCCTCTTTCACTTGAATGAGGCCATGGGAGGGAGCGATGAGAGACGCACAAGAGGAATGCTGATGTAGAGGGACCCAGGCCCACTGTCAGGGGGCGTCAAAGGGTACAGTTTACCCTGGCCCACTGACAATACAAGTTAAATGTATTTACAGGATAAATCACCAAGAATCAGGGGCTCCTAAATGAAAAGCCAGAGTACAGAGAGAACAGAGAAGCAATGGCCAAATGTCTGGCAAAAAAGCACCAGGCGTGACAGGTGGAGCGGAAGGTGAGAAATGAATACAAAGAAATAAACAGCAAATAAAACCTGCTGTATCAGGCTCATGGTATGTTGTTGGAAAGGGGGCAAAGTAATGCCACAAATGTATGCAAATGTTGGTTAGAATAAAAGGAACATTGCTATTTTTCAAAAGGTATAATAATATAATAATTCCTCCTGGAATTACATAAATTGAGCATGACTGGAAAAGAGTTGACAGCCATAAACCCTTGCACACAATTTGACTAATAGCTGATTAATGCTGCCCTCTAGACTGAATGAGTAAATGAAGAAAAAATGAATTTGTCCACTCATGATTTGATTGTAAATACCTTGCAGGAATTTCTTTAGTCAGTGTTTGATTTTACTTGTCTCCAATAATTCATCATCATTCAATTCATTCAACAGGTCAAAAGTCAGCTTCACTGTGACATCATGATGTTTTGCAAAAAACATTATCTGGCCAGTATCCACCACAACTCTGGAACAGAAAGGGAGATGCTTAGATACTAAACTGGTAACACTTATGTTGGGTGCCCATCTTGAAACTGTGATTATGTAGATCTGTGTGTGAAGCCTCCACTTTCTGGAATGTGTAGCTTCTTTGCAGCAACATTCATATTTAAAGTATTGTCAGCCGTCATGGCTACAAATGAGTCTGTACAGATGGAATCTGGAAATCCATCGGTTAAAAAAAAAATCTTTCTTTACCTCTGGAGGCACTGCCCTTAGTTTTTTGACTAACGGAAGTGCAGGGGCCTCGGGGATCGCTCACCCCCTTCACTTCCCCAGGGAATCGCCTTGTTGTTTACAAATACTTCCAGGTAGAAAACCAGCAGAGTTTAGCTATATATTTAAGCAATATCACACTCGAGCTCGTGATGTTATACTCGTATATCGTCACGGCTGTGATTGACTATGACCGAATCACAGCCGTGACGATATACGAGTATAACATCACAAGCTCGAGTGTGATATTGCTTTTATACAACAGTTTAACAGTTAAATAAGCAAGGCTGATTAAGAAATGATGAAAAATGAGGACAAAATAGATAATTTAAGCATTTTATTTGGCTTCCGCCAACAAAAATAGTTCCCTCAGGACTCCGCTGTCACCGTTGCTATGTAACGCAAACATGGTGCGGCAGGCACTTAAGCCTGATTTATGGTCCTGCGTTAAATCGTCGCTACGTTGTAGGGTACGTGGCTACGCAGAAGGCTCGTCGTAGCCCCTGGCGTAGCCTGACGTGCACCTCCCCAAAAATGTAACTACACATCGAGGCGACGCAGACCCAGCGCAGACAGAGAGGGCTGTGATTGGTTTGCTTGGTAGCAACGCATTTCCGGTTTCGTATTTCCAGATTGCGCCATCCCCGCCATCTTTAAACATCTTCTGTTGCGATGTAGATGTTGCACATATGTTGCAGTATTAAGGCCCATTTATGCTCCGTTCAATACGGATATGGATGGAGCCGTCTGTCCGTGCTCCGCGTTCATTTCTCTGTGACTGGAAAAGCCGGAAGCTAAACAAAGAATCAACTAGAGACCATAGATATATATACGTAGATGCCGCACCCTGGCTTGTGGGATGCGTCAATACCGCCGCCATCTTGCCTAGGTGCTCTGACCGGTTCAGACCCGTGTCAGACTCGGCAAAAATGACACATTTTTGCTCTGTATTTGGGTGTACTAACGAAAGAAGTGTTAAAACCAAGCAGAAGGGAATAACATTCCACAGGTAAGAAGTTGTTTTACAATATTTTACTATTACGAACATGTTTAATGAGATAATTATATATCTCAAAAAGTGATCCTTCTTTTAAGCTAATCAAGTAAAGTAACTGTCCTGATCCGGTCCTAATGCCAAATTAAGCTAACGCTACGTCACACAACTTAAAGAAAAAAAGGTTAACATTTATATAATATTACTTATAAAATTATGATGCTTTGTCAAACAGCTATGTCGGTGTGTGTGTTATTCCAAATTGTCAACTATCTGTTTCATGGCACCAACGTGACATAACGCAGTATAACGTTAGTAGTTAACTTGTGGCCTGAATTGTAACTACAAATTATGTGGAACTGCGTTTTTCTGACACACTTATTTTGTGTGTAGTTTCCCAAAAAGCACAGATAGGAGACGGGCATGGGTAGCAGCAGTGAGGAGAGAGGACTTTGTCCCGAGTGACTCCTCAGTCATCTGCAGCTGTCACTTCAGACCTGAGGACTTCGACAGGAAAGGGCAGACTCCTAAAAATAATACTAGCTACTGTACACTGTATTTTTTGTAAATATGACCTAATAATGTAAACAGTTCTGTGTCCAGGCCCCCATGAGCACTGTGGTGTTATACATATGAGATTAAAGCAAAATTTTGTGTAAACATGCAGCTCTAAGTCATTTATTTTCACTTGCACAAAACCAACATTTGTTAATCCGAATGTGTAACTACACTGCAGCTCAGCACAACTCTGCTGATACACTATTTTTTGCACATTGTGTGAAATGTGAATAAACATTTATAATCAAAATTAATAGGCCTAATTAAATGACATCATGGTGGGCATTGTACGTCTAGTAAGAAAAAAATAATATTTATTACATGGGGAAAGTTTAGTTTAAATGTGTTGTAGAACTATTAGCCTACTGTTACTTTATCTACATAAGATCAAATATTTTGGTATGAAAAGCTGCATTTTTTATTTAACCAAGTATCCTGTATCATAACTACATGTCTCTCGATTGTAACTAACCAAACCGCATGAAAATCGGTTGAGAATTCAGTGAGTAATGATGATTTTAATCATAAATAATCTCCTGCCTCAATAGACACACATGCATTAGGCAGCGCGGCTCCACCTGGGCAAGATGGCGGCCGCGTTGACGTATCGCTCCAATGAAGAGCACCGTTGAATGCGGCATCTACGTATATAAATCTATGACTAGAGACGACGATAACCATTCAGGAAAGGAACGCAGCCTCCTACCGCTCTGGCGGTGAATTGCACTGCGACGAAATGGAGTGACGGAGAAGTGGGGGGAAGGGTTCACAACGGCGTCACGGCAGCGACGTAGGTACGTTGTAGGTACACCGCAGGACCATAAATCAGGCTTTACTCTTTATACACATTTATCTGCACATTTCCATTAATTGATGGATTAGTTCTCTCAGATGTGGATGTTGACAGCACCTTGACTGGTTGAGCTTGAATGGTTAAAAACAAATATTTGATACTTTCAACACAATCAAAAATATTATGATTTTTCTGTTTTTGTGGTTTTACCACATTTGTTCCACACAGACAAGCAGTTATTTCTTTGTGTATCATATCAATCTAAATCTGTATGGTCTTGTTTCTTTTGTTTCTTGGAAGTGTTTGCCTTTTCATCCAACTACATCCTACTGCTGCTGGCCAGATCCGTGCAAGGTGTAGGTGGATCCTGCTTGTCTGTGGCAGGTCAGATATTCATTTTTCAATATTTTACACTTCACTGAAAAAAAGAGTGGACTTTCATGTTCATATTCA